CCAACTATCCTATGACTTCAGGAGTAACAAAGGCAGGATACCACAGCTTATTAGGGTACAGCTCAGGCAAAAGCTCAGGGTGAACTCTGAGACTGCTGGATGAGGACTGGCTGGGCTGGGTCAGGCTCCGCTCCTGCTTTCCCCTTGCCCTGGGCCCAGATGGACTGGGATCCCCTGGCTCAGTTGGGCAGCTTCACTCATGGGCACAGCCTCTGCAGTTGTTCAGCCCTTTCTCATCCATGATCTCACTTGATCCTCATGCCAACTCTGAGATGCAGAACCTGTTGCTCCTCCTCACAATCAGAGGAGGAGGCTTGAAATCTGCCAATGTTCTACAGCTGCTAACTGGCCAAAGAAAGACTAGGAGAGACTAGAGCCTTCTTTCTACCATCTCCTCCAGCTTCCCAGAGGAAGAGGCCTGGAGTGCAAGCTACCAGGCACCCGGCTATGCTCTCGGTCCCTTCCCTGGCTGAGAAGGAAAGTTGGAATGAGGGTCTGGGGTTAAACAAGAGTGGGCTCAAGTCCTGATTCCTCTACTCTCCAGCTGTGTACACTGCTTCCTGTCTCTGATCTTTCACTTGCTTGCCTGTTGTGAGTGAATAAATGAATGACTTCTGGAGTCAGACCTACACCACCTGCGCTGGGCAGAGAATGGATGAGGCAGGCCTATGAGCCCCAGATGAGCAGAACCTAGGGTTGTTGAGGGGCCAGGAGTTAAAGGGAGGGAGCCAACGGGCTGGAGTTTTGCAGCTGGTCAAGGATAGGCAATGACTACTAAGGGAGGGGAAGGAACAGTCAGTCTAGGTGAGGCAAAACCCCAAAGCAGGAATCAACACCATGGGTGATGGGCTCAGGGTCAGCTGGCTCGGAGGAGGGACTGATCAGAGGGAGCTGGGGGCATCAGGGCAAGTGAGGGTTGAGAAGCGAGTCTAGCTTAGCTTTAGAAAATGAGCTCTCCAAGGCTGCTAGCTCCCTGCCATACCACCTGCCCTCTTCTACCTATCTCCACCCAAGCCTTGGTCTGCCAGGATTTCTGGGCAAGGGACCAGGGGCAGTGGGAGAGGGTGCAATTCCAGCTTGGGAGAGACAGCTGTGCAGGCCTCCTGCCTGCTGCAGGGGATTAACTGGCACCGCCACAGTGTGCTGGGGTGGGGGGAGCACCTGGCTCCTGGTGCTGCCCACCCTTGTACCCTTTAACTCCTTGTTTTCCAGGCCCTTTACCTTCAGGCTTAGAGAGGTGCTCATGCTGATTTTCCTGTGCCCTCTGTGTTAGATATTGGGGACACAAGCAAGTAAAGATGGAAGGCAGGGTCTACCTTGCCAGAGGTATGTGGACCCATCACTGTGGATTTCTCTCCATAGAAGGCCCTTTCTTCTCTGGCTTCTTCCAATGCATACAGTCAAGTCACTGCCATCCTTAAAGCATCCAATAATCCTCCCTTGACCCATGTCCTTTCTCCCTTCTGGCCTTCTGAGTGTTGTCCTCCTTGCCATTGCTACTTCCCCATGGAGAAGACACTGTCCACCAAATCCATCTCCTCCTCGTCCTGGGCACACAGCTGGACTACATGCTCCAGCTTCCCTTGCAGTTAGGTGTGGCCACATACCTCAGTTGTAGTCCCACATACCTCCAGCACACATTCCCTGAACACCTTGGCACTAGCTTGACATGCATGAGCAGAGCTACCTTGAGTCATGCTGAAGATGGTAGAACAGCTAGACAGGGGCTAAGATCTCTCAATCTTTTTAGACACAGGTTCCAGCTACTCAGGATTACCTATTTTGGCCATTTTTTTAATAGGAGAAAGAAGTAAGCTCCTATTATGTTTGAGCCACAGAAAATATCTGATTTGCTGTATCTGAAAAAAATGAGGAATTCAGTTCTTCATCTTCTCTACCTTTCCATGTGGGACAACACGGGAAACAGGGAAGGGTCTTAAAACTCAGAAAAGGGGAAAAAGGAGAAAGCTCTGGGTGTGGAGAGAGATTTCCTGGGGAGAGGAAGTAGCTAATGAAGTCGTACACATAGCACTCGAAGCGGTTCCCAAACTTGTCATCTGCCTTCCCCAAGCCATAAAGCCGCAAGACCTTGAGTGGTTTGAACCTTGGGTAAATGCAAAATGCAGTGCCACAGTGAGTGAAAAGACCATGGGGACCCAGCCCTGGAAGAGGGGGTTGGTGCTGACAGACGGGATGAGCGTGGTGAGGAAAGAGTTAAGGGATCTGTGAGCAGGATGGGCTCCCTCTCCGTGAGGGCAGTGAAATCAGCATGTCGCCTCCAATTTACTCCGCCCTGACCTTGAATGTGAATCATTCCATCACAATGTCCTTATTGATTTCCACAGGAAGAGGATTAAACCCAGAAAATCAGGGCGGGAACTTGAGCCTGCACCAGGGAGAATGGGATGGTTCTGCAGCTCAAAGCCCCTCGTGTTTGCAAATATGTCACTGGGGGCTGCAGGCTGGACAGCCACTGGGTGCAGCCACCACCTCTAAGCGGCCAGGCTGGTCCTTGCCTTTATTTCCCTACCTGTGGGGTATGTGGCCTCTAGGCCTGTCTCAAGCTTAGGTCATGTGCAGAGTGTGGAGGAACCAGAGGGATGCGTTAGATGTTACGAACATCCCGGAGCCTTGGAGTCTATTCTAGTCTATTCATCGTTCTCTGCATGATGACCGCCCTTGGGACACTCAACCAAAGAGGCTTTTTCAGGACCAAAGTTACCATTGGATCAGCTGGCTCTAACACCCAAGAAGGGCTCTGCTCAATCTTGAAAACCCTTCAAGGAAACAAGACCAATATAGGGGTATGTGTGTGTGTGTGAGAATGTGTGTGTGTGTGTGTGTGTGTGTGTGTGTGTGTGTGTGTCCCCCATAGAGGCATAAAGGAGGTAGGTCATTTTGTGGGAACCAATCCACAATTTCCTTTCTTAACATCCACTGGAGAGCCCAATATATCAGTACACAACAATGCTGCCTAATATTCTATAGTGTGGCTGTATCATTCCCTATTGATAGGCATTTAAAATTGTCACCAATTTTTAAAACTTGGCCCAATGCTGCAAAATCTAGCACATGCTTCTTTGTATGAGTTCTTTCTTTAGATGCTGCATGAGTTTTCTACTGCTGCTATAACAACTCACTATGAATGTCATGGTCTAAAGGGGCATCATTTATTCTTTCATTGTTCTGGAGGTCTGAGGTCTGAAATTAGATCTGCTGGGCTCAAATGAAGGGGCCAGCAGGTCTGCGTTCTTTCTGCAGGCTCTAGGGAGAGTCCATTTTCTTGAATTCCATCATCTACAGGCTGCCTGTACTCTATGAGCAGTGACTACTTCCTCCAAAGTGCATCACTTACACTTCAAAGTGCATTACCCAATCCTTGCCTTTGTCAGCACATCTCCTCTGTCTCTGGTCCTCCTGCTCCCCTTTTATAAGGACCCTTGTGCTTAAGCTGAACCCACCTGGATAATACTGGATAATCTCCTCATCTCATGGTCCTTCACTTAATTATGTCTGCAAAGACCCTTTTGCCATGGAAGATAACATATTCACAGGTGCCAGGAATTACATGTGGGTGTCTTTCCAGGCCATTATTCCACCCACCATAGCTGCTCAGAAATCAGATGATTTAATCAAAAGATGCATTTTTAAACAAAATCAACATCGTCAAATTCTATCCATTAACACTCATACCAGCACTGCCAGTATTGGCCTTTTGGAGGGCAGTTAGGTGGCAGTGATCACTTTTCAAATTGCCGGTTTCCTCTCTTCCTCATAATGCAAACAGAGTTGGTGATTTGGCTCTTTCTAATCTTTCACTAAGTGTCTGAGCTTGAAAGAGTTGGTTTTTGGGAATAGGACTAGGGAGTTTTAGCCAAAAGGTTGGAATGAGAGGATGGTTTCTGGTAAGAAGGCAGCAGAGCCCCCTGGGGGAGTGGGAAAGAGGTGGGAGGTGAGCAGCCGGTACACTGATTCCAGCAATGGAGAAAGAGCATCAGCCAGTATGGCCACCAGTGAGTACACTGTGTGGGTAGAGCAGGACGACTGGGGACTGCTACCAGCTGGAACCAAGGAGGCCCAGGCTTCACAGTGACAGATCAGAGACCCTCCTAAACAGACCACAGAGAGACGCCTGTGACCGGATGCCCTCTGCCTCCATCTGGCCCAGTTCAAAAGCTGCCTCCTCAGACCTGCACATAAACAGGTGGAAGTGGCAATGAGGTGAGGGGTGAAGAGCCGGGGACATTGGGATCTCGACAGGGGCTAAAGAACCACTTAGTGTCTTAATCTAACCATCTCACTATGTAATTTTAAGACAGTTCTCTGCTGAGCGTGGTGTTTGAAACTCTGGAAGCTACTGATATGTGATTTAGGGAGTGTGTTAAGGCCAAGGAAAGGACTGACTACAAATTATCTAAGTTTGGAAGCCTTATCTTTCCCATCTCTGTCTGTAATAGTGAGCAATTAACAAGCATGAAAGATGCATTTAAAGATATAAATGTCCCTTAAGTACTGCTTTAGCTGCATCTCCCAAGTTTACTGTGTCATAATTTTATAATCAGATGATCAAAATGCCTCATTTCTATTCTGATTTCTTCTTTGATCCATTGCTTATTTAAAAGTGTGCTGCTTAAGAGGCTGTAAATCTCCTTTTTCATTAGGAAAAACCCCAGGGTCCATGTTAGCAGACACACGTGCCATGAGAGGAGAAGCTTACTTATAAACTAATATCCAAGACTTCCAAGTGCCAGTGACAAAAAGGGATGCCCTAGAACCTCCAGGTGGGTGAAGCTGTTGCATAGAGAGCACTGATGCAGCCCTAGGGGTCTCCCCCTTATTGAGGGATGCCTCCCTGGCCCTCATCCTCCCCTTTCCCACATGGGACAACCAGAAAGTACCCTCCCACTCGGTCCTTAGGTGCTGGTGGTCCTTTAAAGTTGAAGTATCGCTAAGAGCTCATCTCTATATTCTGCCTAACCCTAGCACAGCCAGTGGGGCTGCAAAAACTGACTTCATTCTTTGGGCGAACAAGAGGGAAATCAACACAAAACACTGAGAGGTCTCCAGGAAACCTACTCAGCTCTGTCCCATGTGCATCCTATATGGGAGGTCTCTAGATGGGATCACTGCTCAGGCCCCTTTTTTGGATGTCAGCTCCCTGTTGTTCCAAATGTCCTTTTCTTTCTTCCTACCCCCTTCCCCTAGAAGCCAGTCTCTGGTCAGTTCAGTCCCAACCAGCAGGCATCCACTTAGGGCCTGCTCTGTGTGGGACACTGTGCTGGCCAGAAGTGGGGCAGGAGAAGTAGAGTTGGCCTCCGGGACCATAAAATAGGGTTTTCTCTTCCCAGTGGACATTCCTTCAGAGTCGAAGCAAACCTGGCGTCCTCAGGAATGCTTGAAGCCTAAAGTCTTCCTGTGGTTTATTGATACACAAGTAGAATACAGTTACAGGGGCAGAGAGGCTGTGGGAACAGCTGGGGGCCATCCTGGGATAGCCTTCTCATCCGAAGGGGCACAAGGACAGCCACACATCTGTACACATCGGGGCAGAGCTGGAGCCCAAATAACACCAGGTCTATGCCCTTTGGACCCAGTGGTATACAAAGAGGGCAGGAGACAAGTGTGGCTGAGCTCTCCTGCCCTGGGTTTAGGGAGGGCACTGTGGTTTGGAAACAAGCCTCTGACAGGTGCTGAGGGATGCTGGGTGCACATGGACTGGGCTGCATTTTCCACTGACAGACGCTTTTCTGCTAAACAGTCCCAGAGAGCACAGAGCCTGGAGTTGGCTGAGACACAAGGGACACACTCAGGCCTCTCCAGAGATGAACTCTGCTGTGTCCTTGGAGAAAAGGCACATGGCAGAGTCAGGAGCTGCACCTGCAGGCTCAGAGTACCCATCACACAGCCTCCAGGTGGACTGTCCCCAACATCTGGGTGACTAGTGCTGGGTCCTTGCTGAGGAGCTCATTCCTCCCACCAGCAACTCACAAGGCAGCCAATCTGCCAGGATGGGTGGCTTGGGGTTGAAGGAGCCATACAGAGACACAGGCCTGGGTCCACCCTTCTAAATCCCTTCCTGAATTACAAGGTCGATACCAGAACATCAAGCATCCCTCTTGGAGGGAGAGAGAACTTGACAGGCACTGAGCCCACCCCTCAGTCTCTGTACTTGGTCTCGAGCGCCTCTGTGAGAGGACCTGGGCTCCTTAAGTACACCTTCGTTGTTTTGGCGAGGTCTTCCTTGGAAGCTCTGTACAGGCCTGAGGCTGCAGTTAGAGCCCCTTTCCTTTCACTGTGTCTGTTTCTCCCATGGTCGAAAGGGCTAAAAAAGGACCCGGGCAGCTCATCCTGATCCTAAGTTTGGATTGGGGTCAACTCTGGTCCCAGCTCCTAAGAAAGTTCTCACCCCCTTCACCAAGAACTGCAGCCACTGTCGCAGATGTGCAGGGTCCTGCTGCCCTGGATCTGCAGCCTGATCCCAACCTCCAGCCAGGGACAGAGCTGAACACTGTTCCTTATGTGGAGGTGGAGAGGCAGGCAGACAGGGAGCCAGGATGGGAAAGGCGGCCAGTTCTGGTCCTTCTTGGAGCTTCTGTCCACCACCCCATGCTCAGCTCAGACCAGCACTCCGCCACTTTAACCTCCTCCCCCATCCACACTGGGCCACCTGGAACATGAAGGTGGTAGTGGTGGCCCAGCAAGCCCAGGCCCCAGCCTCAGGACCACTGGCAGGCGCAGTCAGTGGGCTCCTGCACTGTATAGGGCACCCAGGTGGCGTTGGTGGTGCAGAAGAGCTGTACGGAGCGTCGGTGCAGCCCCACCTCACGGCAGCACTTGCAGAAGCGGGCATAGGTGTTGACATTGTGGTTGTAGATGCTGGCGGACGGGCACCTCCCGTCACAGGACACCAGGTTCACCTGGAGAAGGCAGGCCAGTGAGGCAGCCTGGAGAGGACATCCCCAAGCCCTCTCCATCCCCATCTTTGCCCACCCGCCACCGCCATGCGGGCACCACGCACAGGTGTGTTGCTCCTGCAGTCGTTCTTGCGGATGGTCATGCGGATGGTCACCTTTTTGCAGGAGCGCCCATCCTCCTTACCTGGGGGGACAGAGCAGGTGAGACCCCTGTGGCCCAGGTGTTCTCCCTGGGGGCAGCAGGATGGGCCAGCCCGGGGCAGTTAGCGTCATGCTGGAGGGTCCCTCTTCCAGGTTAGCGCTCATGCATTACTGCCTCTCCCTGCCAGGGGGAAGCTCTTTATCCCAGTGTTCTGGATCAAGGTGGAGTCAGGCAGGCAAAGACAGCAGTGTGAGCGTGGGAGACCATGAGACCAAGGAAGACGCCTGGGATGGCTGCCCTGGACCCCTCAGAGACTGCGACAGGGAATAGGAGGATTTGGGGACATGGGAAAGCTGCCTCCTCACCCAAGGCCCAGCCACAAACCCCATCTCTGATCCCTGGGGAGGGGTCCACCCTCTCTGAACTTCAGTGTTCCCACTCTGAGAGGGGTTCGAGCATTGAGAGGCTGCAGTTTCCCAGTCCCTGGCAAGATGTGGCTGCTTCTCTGTCCACCACACAGAGCCAGGGACTTGCCCACCCCCCAGGTTCAGGCATGGAAAACGAGGTGTGAGTTTCTTCTGCCTGGACCACGCTGCCCACAGACAACCAAGCACGAGGCTCACACTGCCCCTCACCTCCTTCAGCTATGTGCCCCAACTGCCCTTTGCTCAGGCCTGCCCTGATTTCCTCCCTCCTCCCAGCCCTCCCTGGCCCTCCTTGCCTTGTATCATCAGGGCATTGTCCCTGTCCTGTCAGAGGCCATTTGTGATCACACTGTTGAAGCTAAGCTTAGAGTCTTCCTTTGTACATCCCTTCCATGTGTTGTTGTGAGTTCTTTCCTCACTCTAAATAAATACTCACATTTATACCTCAATATAGATTTATAATTCTGTCCTCTTTTCCTTAAGAAAATCCCCCCCAATTGCCTAAGCCTCGGGCCTCACACAACTCAGTGCCTCTGACCTGTGATATATTTTAGTTTTACTTATTTCCCACTAATATATCAGCTCCTCAAGGCCTTGTTTGTACTGGCTCATTGCCTGGCACATTGTTGGTGCTCAACAAATATTTGCTGGGTGCAGGCACTCACTCTGTAGCCCAGGAAGCCCACCAGAAATGGGATGGAATCCTTTCTCCCGGCCTCTGGACCTCATCATAGAGAGACAGGGAAACTGAGTTCTGCCCTGACTACAGCCCTCTGGGCCCTGGATGGAGACTGGCTGAGAGACAGCAGGAGCAAAGCAGTGGTGGCACTGGGCATTAGTGGCACCAGGTGAGTGGGTGCTGCTGAAGCATTCCCATGCAAGCCCGGGGGGCCTGGCTCACTACCCAGCATGCACTGGGGGCCAAAGGGTCTTTGCCAGAGCCAGGAAGCAGGGGGCCTCTCCCTCCCTCGCCCCAAGAGCTCAGGGCCGCCTAGCAGAGGGGACATTGGTGGAAATAGCAATACAGCTGCCTGATTCAGTCCTTGGAGCTTCCAAGAGAAGTACCTGGGTGGCAGTGGACACTAACCCCTGGAGGAGAGGCGGAGCTATAGGGGACCACAGGAAACAGAGTCCCTGGGGAACCTGGGGAGAGGGACATGTGTCTCAGGTCACATGGGGCCACCGGGAACATTCAGAGAGCAAAAAGTTGTGGATCAGGGAAACCACTGAAGTCTTGATCCCGGGTCTCCTTGAGTGTGTGATGTGGACTTAAAAGGGCCCCGAATCCTGCAGCCCTCAGGGCAGGGTCAGAGCACCCCAGCAGGAGGGCAGACATGTGAGCAAACACTGGAAGGTTCGTTGGTCCATTCATGTATATGTGATTGGGGTGCTCAGGTGTTCAGGAGCTAGGTGTGAGGAGAGACACAGAGCTCTCATTCTGATTCACTCTGGGGCCCTGGAGGCCTGAGCCCCACCAGGAGGCACCTCCAAGACTCAGGCTTCTGACCACAGAAAATGTGGAGCTATCTGGGCTGGGGTCCTTGTCAGGGGCAGGGGCAGCAGAGTGTCTAGTGAGCTATCAACTGCACCCAGCAAGAAGCAGAGGGCTTGTATTGGGACAAAGACATGAATGCGGCTTCTGGCCTTTTGCTATGTTGCCAGTGCAGCGAGCCTCGTGTCAGGATGTTATCCTTTCCTCTACTCGCCCTGGGGAGCTGCCCTCAGAGGTGCCAGGGGAGCCCGGCCCCCTGACCCTGACGTAACATCCTGCCCCCACCAGCACCCCTCACCCTTCGGCCTCTGCCGTCTCACTCACATGTCCTGCAGCATCCTTCCAAGGAAGGGACCACGGAGCCCCCAACCTAGAGGGAAAGAAGAAGGGGTGGGTGCAGAAAACCCTGTTCCAGCCCAGGAGCCAAGATCCCAGCAATAGTAAAGGGAGTCTAGGAGTCTTGACTCTGCTCCTCCCATGATGCCCCAGGGCAGGAGCTCCCCACCCAGGCAGGCTGTGGAAGAGCGGGAGGGCTAAGCTGACTGGCCAGACAGCTGGCACTAAGGCTGCCTGCAGCCCTGAGAGGCCGGAGCCTTGGAAATGATGGTGAAAAGAAAAGGAAAAGAAGGGCCTCCCTTCTTCCTGTGGCCATTACCACACACCCTCCCCTGCCGACTCCATGCTGTGGAGGAAGAGGATGTGGGGACATTTCATCTTCAGTGGTGGCCTCCAGGCGGCCAGCAAAGGAGGGTACAAGGCGTGGCTTAGTGTCCAGGGCTCTAGCTCAGCCCTGGATAAGTTGCTCCTTTCCCTCGGGCTTAGTTTTTGTTATGATTTATATCTAGATGTCCCCTAAGAGCCTCAAGCTCCCAGAGGTGGGGCTTTTGGAGGGTGATTAGATCACGGGCTTTCATAGCTGACTTGCCGTTAGGAGGTGGGGTCTGGTTGGGAGAGGCGGGTCCCTGGAGCCGAGGCCTGGAACATATATCTCCCTTCCCAGCTCCTCTCTTCACTTTTTCTGCTTCCCGGCCTCCATGACTTAAGCAGCTTTGCCTGCCAGGCCCTTCCACCATGCCTTCCTGCCTAGGAGCTGGCCAACTACGGACTAACAACGGAAGCCAAAATAACCCTCCCCTCCTTTGAGTTTCAGGTGTTGGGTACTTTGTTCCAGCAATAAGAAAAGTGACTAGGACAGTTTTCCATCTCTAAAACTGGGGCAATTATCTCTTACAACCCTCCTCTTCTATTGTGAGATGGATAAAATAATTTCTGGACTAGCTCTTTGTAAGTTCGTGTGTGTGTGTGTGTGTGTGTGTGTATGATTGTGCATGTATTTGTTGTCTAAGGAAGAGTGAGAAATCATCAAAGGCCCAGAGTTAACCTCAGTAATTTTAATAATTTAGTAACAACACCAACTCCTCCAGGAATCCTTTTCTTTGAGGTGTGCCTGCAGTGACAGCTGTCCCTGGAGGGAACCGTGGACGGAACCACTCACAGGTGTGGTGCATGTGTGTGCAAGGGTGCCTGTCTGAGGGCTCTGGGGTGAGCTGGTGTGTGTGTGGTACCAGAGTGTGTTCATGGTTCTGTGGGGTGTGTGAGGGGTGAGCGGCCAACTGCCTGTGATGGTGTCCATGAGTGGGCCTGGCACACGTGTAGGTTCCTGTGCATCAGTGTGTGGATGTGTGATGTGTGAGGACGTGGGGTGTGAAGTGGTCTAAGCCAAGGACCCTCCTACACCCAGGACCCTTCCCCGGCTTCCACTGCCACCCGCAACCAGCTGATGCCCTGGCTGAGGCCACACTGTGGGACAAGGGGGCACTGACCTTGGCACACTCGGTCTCATTGAGTGGGGGGCAGCTGATGGGAGAGCGCACAAGCACGGCACCCAGGGGAGTGCTGCTGCAGTGGTGGCGGGCACAGTGTGCGATCCAGGATGCCCCAGGCTGCAGGGCACAGAAGTGAGCAATGGGAGCCTGTGGCTAGGCAGATGGCAGAGCCCGAGGACGGGGCAGCCCAGGACCTGGCATCTGCACGAAGCTCTGGCCCGGGAGCTGGAGAGGGCCTCGGTCCTAGCATCCCCTTCCAGGACACTGTCCCAGGGCGGCTCAGGGGCTGCTTACCAAGAACAGGGAGGTGGTGCCATTGGGGAAGGTGAAGAGGCAGGACACATTCCTGCAGGAGCCACAGCAAGCCGCCAGGTCCCGGGGGTGCTCATACTCTTGGTTCTGCAGCCCGGGTGGGGTGGGACAGCCTGGAGTCATCTGGTTGCACCCCTCCACCCTCCAGCTCTACACTGTCCGCCTGTCTCTTGGGGGGCCCACAGCCCGAGAAGGACCCTACGGGGACCCAGGAATGGAACGTCAGCCCTCTATCTCTGGTGGCTGGGCAGGTTGCCCTTGTCCCTCCACAAAGCCCCCTCATTGCCAGCGTGTAGAGGTGACCCCACTCCCAGAGGCAGCATTCTCATAATTAAGAGGTCAGTTTGGTTCTCGACAGTCCTCAATTTGAGTCGTGGCTCCAGTGGGACTTTTGGCAAATGACTAAATCTCATTTTTCTTTTCTGAAAGTTGGGCATAATTCTAAACACCTTGTGTTCAAGCAACTTATTTGGCTCTTACTAGAAGGCAGTCACTGTCCTAGGTACTGGGCTTTACAAACGGTAGTAACACAAGCATACCACCCAAAAGGATAGGGCATTCAGTAGGTGCTTAAATGTGTGTCCTCTCTGTCAGATACCCATGGTTCCCAGGCCCAAAATCTAATCCTTTGCTCTTGCTGCCCGCCTCCTGGTCCTTTCCACAGAGTGCCCACTGTCTAGACTTGCTGGGGGAGCTGGGGGAAGCTTGAGGGCCCCCTCATTTCTGGAGCACCTAGTATCTGCCAGGCCAGCCCCTCGACCCGCTGCAGCCCAGCCCACACTGCCCCTACCGCCTCACAGTGGACGTCACACAGCACGGAGGTGGTGTTGATCTGGTAGAAGCTGGTGAGGGGGTCCAGCAGGCCCGTGCAGCGGGAGGTGTGGCACACGCCATCTGCTGAGAGCTCTACCACCGTCTGGCCTGGCTGCAGCACCCCCAGCTCACGGCTCAGACACACAGGGGCTTTCACTGGTGGCAAGCAGGGGCTGCGGTCATCGTGAGCCCAGCCATGACCACCAAGGCCCACTCACCCTGCTCCGCTCCCCAGCGCCCCTTGCCCACTCACCACACTCATACTTGGCGCAGCCACACACATTCTCCTCACTGTGCATGAACTTCTCGTCCAGCTGAGATTTCTCCCACTGGGTGGGCAGAGGTGGTCAGCACCAGGGTGGGGGTCCTGGCCCCCTCGGGAGCAGCCTGCACCTGGGCCCCTTTCTGAATCATGCTCCTTACTCCCAAGCCTCCCTTCTGGGGGTGTTCTCCATGTCCTCCTGCCCTCAAGAGGGGAACCGGGGCAGCACCACACTAATTCCTGTCTTCACCAGTTTCCAGGAGAAGAGGATAAAGGAAAGCAGTGCTGGGACTGGGTGAGAATATGTGTAACCCAGAAAGTGACCTGACATCACTTCACGTTTCTTATTTCCCCTTGCTCCATGGCTGTGCAACTGGAGGTTAAGAGCATGGTTTCTGGAATCAGAATCCCTGATCAAATCCTGGCTCTGTGACTCTTGAAGACATTGGCATAGGAAAAGATTCCATGAACAAAACCTCAGTTGCCAGTGAACTAGCACAAACAATCAACAAGTGGGATTTCTTCTTACTAAAAAGTTTCTGCAGAGCAAGAGAAACCACCAGCAGTGTGAAGAGAACAACCCACAATGTGGGAAAAAATTTTCACCAGTTGTCCCTCAGACAAAGTTCTACTATCTCGAATCTATAAAGAACTTAAAAAAATCAGACCTCCCAAATTCAAAGACCCAATCCAAACATGGGCATCTGAAATGAACAGACATTTCTCAG